CGTGTTTCAAGATTTAAAACTAAAAAAAATAAGATATTAATCTCTCGAAGTTTAATAATTGAAAAGTTTTCTCCCTCCGTGAAATATCCGAAAATGCCTTAAGAAATGTCAAAGGTCGTCTCTCTTTACAACACGTGGAGAAACATGTGTTTAGTGTTCCAAATATTTCATAGACGATTACACAGGCATTAATTAATCGAAGGATTTAAAAAAAACAATAATAATTATTTTAAAATTTAGGTCAAAGATCTCATTCGAAGATACTTATCTGAAGGAAGAAATATACTAAAATTATAATAAGTAATCTGATTTATTTTATGAAACAATTTATAAAAATGTTGAATATATATTGATTTAAAAGGTTAAATTCGATCCCATATGAGATAACAAATAAGACCTTCGTTTATAAACAATCCTGATTACAATACTTTCTCGTGTACAGTATCAGTCGACCCCCCTATAACACTGTTGATAATTGCGTTTTATATGAATTCCGTGTTGTACGAGTCACTTAGATTTTACAAATACGTGAGCCATTCACAGCCCGGCACACGTATTTGTAAAATATAAGTGACTCGTACAACATGAAATTCATATAAAACGGAAAAATCTTACACAGTGTTATAGGAGGGTCGACTGGTATATATAACATAGTGTTTAAATCGTATTAAAGTTATAACAACTAGTAAAGTAAAAGTATTTTTATCTATAGAACTAAATAAAAAGTTTTATATTCAAAATGTATTATCCCATTTGTAACATGACTCATGGTAATCCTTTATGACAGAAAGTTACGACAATCATTTCTTTAATTAAGTAAATGACGAAATGCATTTATATATACACCCTTTAATGCTAATTTCTACAAAAAAAAACACGCTCTTATAGCTATTATCATAACGTGTGACCACCCGCAGAGAGTAAGTCATAATGACAAATAGAAGAGAAAAATTAATAATTAAATAATAAGGGAATAAAGGGATGAAATATATCATTTTAAATAATATAGTAAAACCTCGATTTAACGATTTAAATGACACAGACGGGTTAGGAGAAAAATTGTAAATTAATTTGTAGTCACGAAATATAGATTCCATGAAATTCCCATGTTTATGGGGTTAACTATTGGTCTAAAAAGGAATGGCGTTAACTGTTGGTCCCATGTTTATGGAACGAATAGTTAACCCCATTCCTTTTTAGACCAATAGTTAATTAACCCCATGACACCTGACAACCCCATGACAATAGTTAAACCCCATGACATCTGACAACCCCATGACAATAGTTAACTCCATGACAAATGACACCTGATATTTTTAGTTTTTAGCCCATAGCACATAAATGTTTGCGAGGCGTGAGGGACGTTTGGTACCCCTCACGCCTCGCGCTCTTTACCAGTTGCCAATGCATTGCTATGGTTATAACCTAATCTCCGTATAAAAAATCCAATATTTTATACGGTAAAAAATATTTATATTAAAGAAATACATTATAAAAGTTTAAAATTATGTGTGGCTCCATCTGTTATGTGATTCTATTAAGAAACAATTTTTTATAATACTGTATTAATTATAATACAAAAGTAAAAGGTTTCATTTTGACAGATTAAACTGTGAATTTCGACCAGAGATGAGAGCTGAGCCACGAGTTGCAATTCTGGTAGAACTTTTAATAATACTCGTAAATGCAAAATTAACTACTTCTAATAGAGTTAAACAATGGGGTTTTCTTTAAATCCCTTTCCCCTTTGATTTTCAAATAAAATAAACACACACACAAAAAAATATAAAACTATTTGCAAGATTTTAAATGTTGCTGGAAACTTAAGCGATTCGTCGCTAGATTTTTACATTTAAATGGATCCGCATTACATTTCTGAATTCCTCGTCTCAATTAATAGAAAATGGCAAAGTTTTATCAAAATCGATCCATTAAACTTTGAGAACGAACTGGATTCTCTAAGATCATACAAGATCGCGAAATATCGCACGACAAAGTCGCGCGATTCGTGCGATATTGCTTTGTCGCGCGTGCTAGTAAAGCAACCTTATATCTCGAAAACCAAGTTGGGTATCTCCATTTTATTGCATTTTTGGATTCCTCATAGCAATTAACGGAAAATGGCAAAGTTTAATCAAAATCTATCGAACGGATTTTGAGAACGAACACAATTCTGTAAACCTCATAGAAGAAGCTTGGCTTCAATTATTTTATGTCACGTTTCAATATCCGATTAGTCCAGTTATTGGTATTAATATTGTATTTTGTTTTGTTTTATTTTTCTATCTTCTAACAATTAAAACAAACAAACAAATAGCAGTATTCGTTGTCCGGCTATAAGACTAAATAATTATTTCAAAATCCGAATACGTATCCAATAAAATACAAATATGCAGTGGTACCTTCTATTTCCGAAGATTCTAATTTCGAACGTTCCAGGGTTAAAATGAATTGAATAATCACGAGCGCTCCCCAAGCGAACATTTCGCGAAACGTCCGGCGCCATCTTTGTGGTTCGTTTACATTTTGTGTTTACGCACGCTTTAACTGGAGTTCTTGTGTTGTTTATTCGTCGCGAATATCACTATAGTAAATTGTTGTGTAATTAGGTGTAATACTACTTTACTCAAGAACAAAGGAACGTCATTTTTTAAAATTCCATTATTTGTACGGTAGAGTAAAGATAATCGCTTAGCAGATGAAGAATTAGAATTGAATTTTGAACCAATTGTCCTTCCAGTCCAATTTACATAAATAAAGGTTTGTGTATTTTTAAGATATAAACCAATAATTTCCATTGTTCATTTACAAATAGCTAATTTATTTTGGTGAGTTTACATTAATAACAAATATTCATTACATAGTAACCTTCAAGTTGTTTTTGACAAATTCTTATTTATTATTTATATATGACATGCCATAATGATAAGTTCTTTTTAATAATAATTTATTATTAAAAAAGTTTTTTTCCTGAAAGGAAAACCTTTCTCGTTTTATGATGAGTCATCACCAGACTGGGTGCCAACATTATACATAGGGTATGAGAGTGGCCACAACCCAACTGCATATCTGGAGCGTTATGAAAGAGCACGTAATCAGGATAAACACAGCCACTTGTTATGGGCCTCTAAAAATTTGTAGGCTTTTATTTGTAAAAGAGTGTAGTAATTTGTCGTCAAAACCAAATAATTTATATCAAATTTTACTTTAGTCCACAACTCTTGATGTATTGTACAACGAAGATAATGGTTTTGTATGGATCGACACCTTGAAATAATGAAACTTTCTCTTCATCGTGTCCTGTCAGACTGCAAGAATAGCATCTTTTTTAACTTTGTCCACGATATAAAAAATACAGCAGTTTTAATAAGTTTAAATTGAAAAAAAGCGCTTCCAGCCTGTCAAATAACAAATCACGTTCAAACTAAGCAAGACCACAAACTTGGCGAAGGGGCGGAGCAAACGTGCGTTTTATCACGTGACATGCGATCTTGAAACCCCTTTATAGTAAAGTTCGCTTTGTTAAGCCATTCGTTCGTTCGCTCACTTGACAGCTTGCTTCTATCGAGCCTCATGATAATACTTTTATCAACGTCTTTGCTAATGCTTCTCGATATCATTCGTTTAAATATTTGTACGGAACCAATACTAGTTGCTTACAGGGGTGTAGTAGTAAATTAAAAAGTGCCAGAGGGCTAACCTCCAGTCTGAATCGAGGCACTGTCTATTGAGTTTTGTATGGGCAAAACACAACCTGTGATGCAATATCTGCAAAACGGCTTAAACGTGCCAAAAATGACCTACTGTACAACTTGTATATATTTGTAATCTACGCAAAAAAAAAAAAAATACTTGTGCAACTCTGCAAGTAGTAATTTTCTTAGGTTTTTTGTTCTTTGTGAACCTAGATGTTCACAAAGAACAAAAGCTTCGCCCTGCTTAAGAAAAGAACCAGGAGGGTACCCTGGTACGCCCAAGTAAGCAAACCAGCGCTGTTATCATGGCATGATAACAGCGCTGGTTTGCTTACTTGGGCGTACCAGGGTACCCTCCTGGTTCTTTTCTTAAGCAGGGCGAAGCTTTTGTTTAGTTAATATTTTACTCTTGTGTGTTGAAGTGGGCAGAACATTATTATTTAAATTCTCATTGTTATACCCTCTGTTCATTATGTTTCTTGCTATACTTGATACTTCCTTTTTCATTATTGACGATTGTAAAATCAAAATATCGAGTGACTCTAAAAAACGTTTATGTCTTGCATCCTTTATCAAATGTTCAGCCAAGATTTCTTTATGCAAAAATAAACTCGTCCATCTCATTCGCATGCATATTTGCTTTTGTCGTAATAAGTGGTAAAATTATAACAAAGAATTGTTTGAAATTAAATTTCCTCCATGTATTATCAGTTAATATTTTATCTGTATATTTATTTTATGTAACTACGTATAATGTACCCGGGTTGAATAAAATGTTGTGGCAAAAAACGGGTCGCGAATGGAATAAATAATTAGTCTTGCTATAGACTAATAATGTAAAACATCACTGAGTTTCATGTGTGTTTGGTAGCTCATATATGACATCCCCCGAAATATAAGTGTAATAATTATCTTGTTTTAGCATATTGCAAGGATTCGATTCTGTACTTTTCTTAAAAAATGAAAAATACAATTATTAACAATTTCTATTTCCTGATTCCCCATTTTGTTAAGAAAATAATCGTTGTCCATCATTTTTTAGATAATACTGTTAGTTCTGTTTTGATACGTTGTTATTAGAGTAATTGAAGTAATGAATATATCCTGGGATAATTTCACCTGTTACTCTTTTTGTCCACTAAAAATAAAGGTTAGTTATGTGTGTGAATTTCAATCTTCACGAAAAATATTCTTGAAGCCCGCAGTTTAAAGGAATCTGTCAACATTTTACAGATTTCCTTTTACTCAAATAGATTTTTTTGTAGTCTTTTCCTGTATTTTTTCTGTTCAGAAATATACCAGCGATATTTTTTGAAAACATTTATTTACCACCACAAAATTTGTGGTGCGACATTAAAATATGTACATCTACTAAATGACCATTTAAATACATGCAAATAGCGCATACTATACAGAAATGTCAAAAATTCCATTTTGGCTGCAGTACAAAAATTTCCATTATTTTTTTGCTTTACTTCATCTAATGACGGAAATGCTGTTTTTTTTTTTTGGAAGATATACTGACTTGTGAGTGCAAGTTACAAAACAGAAAAAAAAATCTTCTATAGGAACATTTTGGTGTATATTATCGTTAAAAATGACATCTCTCTTTTTATTTTTTACAAGCTAAAAAAGTTTTTGCAGATTTCTCAACATGTACACTAATACTGGAATCGAGCAGTATCACAATATCCATCTGGAAAGATGACTTTTGCCTCTCTTAAAATACTCGTCTTTACTGCAATAAAAATTCATCCCGACTTGCATTTTATTGTTACAAAACGATAAAAATACTTTTTCTGAAAGCAGCTTGACCTTACACAAAAACATTTGTACAGATGATATTTACTGGTTTGGTAAATAATGGTGTAATGTGTTCTCTTTACAAACCAAGATACATGGGCTAATTGACGAAACATATTTACATATCGTGTGCAATATACCATATAAAAAGCACTATGGAAAATATTGAAACGAAGATGGGAGTGTACGGTGTACGTCAATGTAAACGCTCTTGTACTATAATAGCGAAAAAACCTGTACAGAAACGACGACGGCCTGATTCCGTCCAGTTATCTCTTTGGTTTCTTTTGTGTGAAATCAAAATGAAAAAAAAATCTGATTTGTTCTCTGGGTACATCATTTTCTTTTCTTGAGGTGGCACAGTGCATGCACGTAATGACTAGGACAGTTGGCCAATATGTAGCACCACGACTGCCAGATGCTGACAATCTCAAACGGCTGAAACTTGAGCCTCTGCATCATCTGAAAATATAAAATGATACAGATTCGTTTTTGGAAATGTTCCAAATACGTAAGTACGGTAATAATTTCGGATACTTACCGTCGTCTTCGGGATCGGTTACGTCGCTGCTGTAGTAACCTGTGGTAGAGCCCTCGTGGCTGTGTGCCCGACCCAAGTGGGCCATCTGTCTGGATCGTGCCGCCATCTGTGCAGCAATGTTGTACTCCGGAGGTCTCCGGGCACGCGCGGGAGGAAACATGTGGCCTGGGATGGAATCTCGCGGCGGTGGAGGCGGTGCCATCATATGAGACGGCATCATGGCTACAGACAAAATCATTCCAATTTAGTAATTACTAATAGTTTAGATTAAAGAGGAAGTAAATGGGAATATAATCTCACCCGGTCCTGGAAGTGGTGGTAAGACTGGCATGCCATGAGGAAAGAGAGGTCCATTTGGTCTCATTCTTAACGTGGGTGGAGAATGTGATACTGAAATATTCAGAAAAGAAAGCAATTTGTTAATAGATAATATGCCAAATATTTCAAAGTTTGAATTTTTATAATTTTTTCCATTTATAAGTTAGTATTCCCATTTGTCATGTTTTAAATCTCTTTGTTGCGATTAATCATCAATTATTCTCGTAAACACTGAAAATTGGAAACAGAAAATAGTTCAAATCCAAACTATTTAAACTAATTCACAGTTCAAATCTAACATGTATTTTCTGTTAAAATTACACAAATTATTATTATTGTAATTTTAATTATCTGATTGAATTTGTCACACTCTTGGATTACTTACAATCTAATGCAGGGCTTCTTAAATTGTATATCACTAACCCCTTTGAGATTGTGAAAACTGACAATAGTAACATTTTCTACTACATATTTATGCAAAGCAATGTTTACAGCATTAACGATTATAAAATCAAAATGCTAGTCAACTCTAAAAAATGTTGAAGATGTCCTGTGTCCTACAGTATGAAATATTCAGCACAGATCTAATTCCCATGTAAAAATAAACAAGCACATCTATCTCATTAGTATGCAAATTTGCTTTTGTCTTTAATAAATGATAAAATAATATGTATATCAAAAAACTGGAGGGGAGTTATATAAAATATTCTCTGATAAGAGAGGATCATGAATGGTATAAGCCTGGTCTAGTGAGATAATAATAATGAAGTAAATTTAGACAGATCTAACAAACTTAAAATCAATGATTCTTATCTGATGTGTAAATGTGCATCAATGTGAAAGAACACTATAATATGGTTGCTGTCTATTGGTTCTTGTATATGAAATGTCTCTTTATCCAAAACTTGTTCGGTAGACTGCCTCACAGCATTATGGTTAGAAACATCTTTATTTTACAAAATTGGTTTACGAATTGAAGAGGGGTTGTAAATATAAATCAACCCGAAATGCATTTGTAATTCAATTTCGTAAAATAAAGATGTTTCTAACCGCGATGCTGTGAGGCAGTCTACCAAACAAGTTTTGGATTAAAGAGACGTTTCATATACAAGAACCAATGTAAAAGAATTTTGGCTTCATTTCTGAAGCCAAAATTGTTTCACATAATATGTGATTCAGTAAAAAATTCAGCTTAGAATGAGAATTAATGTATCAGAATTGATTAAGTTACCATTAACTGTGTAGAATAGCAAAAATTCAGTTTAAAAACGACAAAAACCACACAATTATGTATTAAAACATCTCGAGGAATATGCATTTCAATTCTTATAAAAAATCTAAGACTCTATTACAATACACATTCCTGTTGATTTTTCACTAAATCACTTGAATAATCATTTTACATGTTATTTTAATATTGGTTTTTCAAGAATTATTAACATTTTTCACAAAAACTAAAAAGATGCTGAAAATTAATTATAATAAAGTAATTGTAATCATCTTGCACCAGCATATACATGTAAAAAGCATGCTGACTCTTATAGTCACTATAGAATTTGTAATGATAAAATTTTAGTCACTATTAAGTATTATGTCTATATGAATTTAATATTAAAAGAAAAAAATACCCAACAATCATTACACCTGTAACTGAAAAGAAAAAATTTAATTTCAATATTCATTAGAGTAAACTTTTTAGAGTTAACAATGCTTAGAATGTTATGGAATAATAAATTAACTTCTACTAATTAGCTTATTAATAACCAGGGATGAAGAGTTAGAGTTGGGAGTCTGAGTTGAAAAATGTATCAACCCGACTCCTTACATCCATTGACGTTTAAATAATTAAGTAAAAAATTTTAAAAAGCCATTAATGCTATTATTTTGACTTTTTTTCTAATTAACTTTTCTAGTTAAAACTTTTCTAATAAGTAATTGTTTTATTTTATTAACTTTGATAAATAAGATATGAGTAGTTAAAGTCAATGTATAACCTTAAATATGGGTTTGAGATTAAATTTTAGAGGACAAATTTTGGAAAAATTTCTTCTTAAATGCTATATTTTTGTATAAAATAAATAAAAATACTATTTTTGTCAAAAAGTTTATTAGAGCCTACTTCATTTCTATTAAACAAACTACTAACTAACTAGTAATGCATTAGTGAAAGGAATTGGGAGTCGGAGTCAATTTTAAAAATACCGACTTGAAAACTGTGTATTCTTTCTGTCGACTCCCCATCCCTAGTAATAACAACTGGATATAAATATAAATTTGATTAACAATTATTTTAATATTCATGTTTGCTCTTAAAATTCCTTTGATAATCAAATTTTATCTTAAAATGTTTTAAAATCATTAGGGACACTGTGATTTTGAATATATTTTTATTATTACTCTTTCATTTTTGTTTCTTTTTTTTACAGTGCTGATCACTAAAATCATTTGTGTATAGTATGTTAAATTTATTATTATGAGTAACTTCTTGGTAAATATTAATAACATAATAAGTCTAGAGTTGCAAGTATTCTTTTAGTTATCTAATAGAATTTTTTAAATGACCAAAATTACCTAGTTAAATTGACACTTACATAATGCTCTTCTTTGTTGGGGAGGAGAATTAGTGGACCCTAATGAACTACTGCTGTGACTGTCGAAACCGGTGGAAGTATGACCAGAATCCGTTTCGTATAGGTGATGATGACTGTAGCTACTACCACTGCTACTGTCACTGGAAGTGACAGAACCTGGGGTATATAAATATCAAATTGGTATATATTCATTTGTAAGAGAATTAAAAAACTAAACAGAGAAAAGTTACAGAACTACCTGAGGTTTGAGACTTCCTTAAAGGAAGATTACTGAGGGCAGTGACACTAGAACTTTCTGCAGACAGGTCTACGGGTAGCACCGTGGTATTGGCAGAGTCGCTGTGCGACCTTCCGTGTCTGGTCTCATTCCTCCGACGCGGGGCATTGGGAGACGGCGTGGGAGAGAGCGAGTGGTGGTGACGGGGAGGTTGGTGGGGACGTACTTTACTCTGGTCCGATAGGGCCAAGAGTTTTCTTACTGCTTTGGGAGAGTCGGCTCCTAAGTTGGAAAATAGTCTATGAATGCATGGTACAAATGTTTACGATATGAATAATGGCTTTAAAATTATCATCTTTTCTTATATGTTTATAAGAGATAAGCATGTAAGAAAAGTTCGTAACTTTAGTATGAATGGGAATGACACGTCAATCAACAGAATTTTTTTTAAAGAAAGAAATCTTTACTTACCAAATCTAGGCCCCGAAGTTATCGACTTCTTTCCTTCAGAAGTGCTGCTAGTACTGCTGGCAGTGGACAGTGTTGGTGAAGGGTGTCGCTTCCTGGGTTGGACTGAAGTCATACTTCCTACTATAGAAAGATCATTTCATATTTCCTCTGTTATTACTATATTCTTATACTTTAAAAAATTGAATTACCAGTGCCAGTTGTTGGTTCACATTCTATTGACATATTATGTAACTGTTCTTCATCAGATATCACCTTTAAATTTCCCAGATAGGCTTTAACTCTCCTCACCATTTGAGCCTTCAAAATAACAGTTAAATATAATAATTATTTATGGTCATATATGTATTTTTCATAAAATATATTTCTAAATAAATAAATTCAATTTGTTTTATTTTCATAATAATACTATTAGCAATTTAAATTGATTTCTTCAAGTTTAAAAACAATTTAAAAAATAAAAAATACATCATAATGTATTTTCCAGAAATTTGAATTATAAGAATAAAGCAAACTGTCTATTGGCATTAAAGTTGTTTATTTTCAAAGTATTTAATTGAAAACAAGTATTTTCGACATTTCAAAATGACATCTTCAGGTTGAGTGTATACCATTTGAATCACAGAGCATAGTTCTTATAAAATGGACTGTAGCTTAACAAGTGTACTCATCCTACATATTTCCTAGGAAAAGTCCTAGCCAATCTATTTTCATCTTTAATCCCTTCTTCAGGTTTAGTAATCACTTCAGCATTAGAGGCCAAATTGATTATTGATAAACTAATGGGAGCAATTTCTCCTGAAACATATCAATTTTACAAAATCGGTGTAATTTCTTTATATCCATCTATTCCACACTTATGTATGGAAATACACTCTTAATAGAGAAAGCCTTTACGCTCCAACAAGTTCTTGAAATATGGGATATATGAAATATGAAATATGGCCTCCTCTCAATTATAGGGCATAATTATTTCCAATTTAATAGGCAATATTTTTTTGCAAAAACAAACCTGTTTTTGCAAAAAGAATATAATATAATACAATTATAAATGCACATTTCAAATGTTTTGAGCAAGGCAATAGATAAGCATATATGGCAATAAGCATTATATTTTTTAAGGAGTGATAAAGGAGCACCATTGATTAGGAATATGTCTATAATTGAGAATAAGAGAGAATAAAAGTAAAAAGATAAACAAAAAGTAAATATATGGCTGCTTCATTTTTTTTTTTGTTTCACTAATGTTTGGACATCAAGCACTTTCTTTTCAGTCTTACACAAGTAATTCACTTTTTACAGGCTGAATACTGTATAAATTGATTTATTTTCAAACATTTTAAGTGTTAATATACTTTTGACTCTCATTGTATAATTTAGAATCATGTGCAAAAGTATATCTACCACAATCATTCAGTTTTGTTTAACCATTAAACATTAATAGCCAGGAATCTACGTATCCCCAAAATCACTGAAGCAGCAAAAGGACAAATTTATTATATTACACTAGAGCGTCATTTATCCGAAAGAATTCCAGTCGGCAAATTTAAATTTTTGCTAGCGCTGTGGCGTTGCAATCTTTGGCTATATCTTGGGCTACTCCAATATTTTTTTGTTGATGTGTGTGTTTTAGCTGGCAGCACTGGCACTTTTCTGTGGTGTTTTTCTGAGGACTGTCTGTTGTGCTGAATCGAACATTTTTGATACTAGATTAACTTCTAAAGTATAATTTTCTTTTGTTTTTATATTTTTCAATATATTTATTTCATTTGTAAAAAATAAAGAAATAATTTTTAATAAATAAATAATTTTTAAACAATTATTATTTAAAAAAGTTTACATTAAGTTTAACATCGATGAAAATTCAACGCAAAGCGACATGCAAAGGAGAAAAATTTCAACATGGGATAGGTTAATATATTTTTTCGTACATAATCGGTTATCCGAAAAATAAGTTATCCAAACAACCCCAGTCCCCAATTGATTCAGATAAACGATGCTCTACTGTAGTTACCAATTATAATGACAAATACAGAATGAATAATGTGTACAAATAAATGTAATGAAAAGTGTACAAATATAATAAAGAATCAAGGAATTTTTTTTATTTTTTAAATGCATAAAGTGCTATATGGTCACCATATAACCACTTGCTAAAGGGCATAATTGTCACTCAGTTTTGATAATTTTTGGTACTTGCCGATTTGATTGCAAAGATTCACATAATAAGGGCCAATAGGGCCTGAGTCTAGGGCTCCCTACTTTTAGGAGCCCTCAAACACAACGCAATGTTATTGTTAAATAAGCAGCAGAAGTGTAAAACAATACCAATTTAAAATTTACATCTTAAAGTTAAAAAGTAATTGTAATATGGCCACTGGCTAGCACATAACTTTGTTATACAGCACCTACATATACAAACATAAATTCATAGAAAGGACTAAATATTCATAAAAAACATTGTCTTGCAATCTATTTTATGATGAGTTTTTCAGGAAATTTAAATTTTAAACAAAGTCAAGGAGAGATCAGTCAGTAAGACCTTTGGCTAAAACAGCTTACAGTATTTAGAGACCAAAGATAAACATAAATGGATCAAATTTAGAAATTAAAAGGAAAAAAAAGCTTAAATATGAAATTTCATGTCAATCTAATTAGAATAAAGTGAGATAACATGCATCACCGAAAAAATAATAAAAACATATTTTATGGACCACAGTTTGTACTTATCCATCACAATCTGAATATCCAAAATTTGTTAACAATAGAATACTTTCCTTACCATAAGTGACTATTGGTAGAAAAAAAATTAATATGATCTAGACAGTGGCCAAACCTAATGAGAACTAGTGTTTAAAACATCAGTTCTTATTAGACATTGATTAACTGATTAATAACTAGATGGGTGACCATCTAGAGAAAGTTTGAATATTTTTGACTGCGAAAATTAAACAGAATAATAACTGATTAGTAATTGGTGTTCATTATACAAATTTAAGATGTTGTCTAGGGAGGCAATCATTCCGTCCTAAATCCACCCATGCTATCACATAAAAAAATAATCTACTAATATTTGAATACATGAGTTTTATTTATTTATCCATAAATCTGTTATTTGCACTACTTGATAAATTCTTAACTGCAATTTAAAATTGGTGTGTAACCTGCCCCTACTTTCACATTGGCTTTTTAACTTTGATAACCATTGTGTTATTTGCATGAAATTATGGCAAGTCTTGATACAATAAACCAAACAAAATAAAAATTTTATATTTGGAAAATAGACACTCCATTAAATATCACCTCTCACCTCTTCAAACATCTTCTTTGGATTGGGTTGAGCTGTACTCTTTTTCCGTCTCTTGATTGTGGCTGCATTGGTGATGGCCGCAAAACTGTTCAGGGAAGCCATGGCAGCAGATGGCTGTGCTCCTCCTATTTCTAGCATGTTAAACAAATCCTAAATTGAAAAATAAAATAAAATGAGATGATAATAAAATTTCTTTAAATCTCAACCAAAATCACATACTACCAAATATATAAAAACAACAAAAAGTTATAGACAAAATTCTAAATATAAACATTTATTTAAGATGAAGACAAAATATTTAAGGTTCCAGAATTTGTAAAAGTTAAAAATATTTAAAAAAAATTGGTAATACTTTTTTAAATGTAAATTTCTTATAATACATCCATTATCTAGATTAATAAACTTAAGATTTGTGATTCGCACAGACTGAACATGTGACCTAGAGCAGCAAGTTTTAAATACAGTCTTTTAAATATCTCTTCAGTCTTTTCTTTTGATAGAAAAAACAACAGTAATGTTGTATTTTATCAATAAAACAACACTCAATGATTATTTTTAAATAGTGTTGTTTATTTTGATATATAGAACAAACTTCATTCTTTGAATCATGGGCATATGAAGATACTGATTAAGGAGACAGGAACATTTAATGTGCCAAAAATTTTACACAGATAAAAACACAAGTAACAATTTTTACTTTGCCATCACTGATAATCTGTTAACTTTTCTGATTACTGTCTGATGTCTTTTGCTTTTGTTTTGCCAAAATTTCAAAGGGCAATTACCCTCCCCACTCTTCTGACTTACACCTATGCTTTGAATGGCACATATTACACAACTATCCATTTTTAATCTACATTTTTTAATGGAAAATAATGCTAAGTGCATATATTTTATTTCAAGATCATGCAAAATTATAACATAATAAAGTGTTATAATTTTACATTATCTTGGAACGATTACAGAGGAGTATAATTGTATGCCTGTGTTATCATTTTTTTTTTGTTTTGTCATGGATTTTAATGATATCTAAACGTGTATAATTTTTGTTTCATTACATTTGTTTCAGTCTTTTAATATTTTTTTATGAATCCTTTTTTAATTTCACAACTATGGTATACACAGTGTTTAGCTATTGCCAAGTTTTCTGTCAAACACTGTCTATATAAATGATAACACAGGAGTACAATTAGACCCCATCTGGCATCTTTACTTAAACATCTGTAACAATTAGACAGCCTATAATATTTAAACACCAACGGAATACTAGCTATTAACTTAATTAAGTGACATCGCATTAGTGATATCAAACATTGAATCTGTGACTCAACAAATATGTACAGTAGTCCCATACAACACGCAAATAAAGCAAGCAAGCAACACCCTCAAATTTTGTTGATCAGAGGAACACATTTTTTTTTTTTTTCAACTTATAGACCAAGGTTTAAACTTTCATAAATTATGTGATAATGCAGATTTTGATAACGTGATTTCTTATAATGCGTAATGAATCTCCCGTGTTGTATGTGACTCTACTATATGTATTTTTTTTTTTTTATTTCCTTTTATAAGTGTGCTTTTGTTTATAACTTGTAACTTATTGTTTCCATACGTTATTTACCATATCTTTAATTCATTAAACAATTGTAATCTTCAAAGATGTTTATACAGTATACAGATATAATATCTGTAAAAAAAAAATCCAAAACGGAAGGCAGCTACATTTGTAAACAAATAGAATGTATTCATGAAGTATGTATTAAATATTTTAAAATTAATTTAATTATAAATCATAATGTTTGTAAAGTAAACCTTGTGTATTTTAGACACCTGTGACTCGCAGTCTGTAACAAGCACAGCTGAAGAGGGACAGACTGACTGTCTGAAATGCATGTATTATTAAAATAAATATCCAGCATTCATCCATCTTTATGTGATTTCTCCTACTGCATCAATAATGCATAAGTCCTCCTGAGAGCCAAACCTTAGCACTTGTATATCCAATTTCATTTAGGAAAATCACTAATTTATATATAACTTTTTTTAATGAAAGTCTACAGACTCTGTTTCTGTTTTGTTTTATATTTAATATAATTTAAAAGAGCTTTGATTTATTGTTACAAACATCAAAATTATAAAAGATCTAAATAATAAATAAATGTTCAGAAAATAAATAAAATAAAAATCAATTTTTGATAGTTATGTTGTTATAATATATTGCAATATTGACAACTGATTAAATGTAAAAAAAAAAAAAGATATAAAGCATCTGTGCACCTTTTCATGAAATTTTCTTGTATCCCTATAATCCATAAATTGAACAGTTAAAGGATACCTAATTTTCAGTAAGTGTTTGGTAGCAATTTAATTTTCTAAATAATTATAACAACAAAGAATTGTTTCGTTAATCAAATATTATAATGATATGGCTTATCTATACCCTCCATTAGCGTTAATTTTTAATTAATTTAAGTACTATGGATGTGTAGTTGGTCTACAAAAAAGACATGAAAAATAACCAAACTCAACCTTCAGAAATGTATAAATTATCACAAAGTTTATAAAATATTATAGTTAGCTTGTATTTAGAATGTCTTGAATCAGATAGGTTTAAAATTATCTTGTATTTAAAAGAGCTTGTATTTAAGAGCTTGTATTTAGAATGTCTTGAATCATATAGGTTTAAAATTATCTGTTTTGAGAAAATTGCCAATTTAAAATTACATTTGGCTGCCATTATAATTTTTTTGTAGGAAAATATTTTTTCTAATTTAAAAAAATTATTCTTTGACTCTAGTCTGAGGGCACTAAGAGAGCCTTTTAGTAATAACCAACAGTGATTTTGTATACCCACAATTAGGTGCAGTGTATGACATATCTTGACATGTTTACAGTCTCAACTGTTTGGCCACATTGAAAAATATTCATTAACACATTAAATTTTAATATATTAATTTTTGAGTTGCAAAGCACTTAAAAACTTTTGTTTGGTCATGTATTAAATTTTCAAAATTGGATGCATTATTGAGTTAAAGCTAAACAAGTATAAAAAAAGGCGGTTTTTTCTAAATAATAAAAGTCATATACAATGGCAGTTTTTTCCAGCATCCAATGGTCCATAAGACAAAGACAAGTGTAAATAACAAAATGAATTTATTACGAAAAGTTAGGTACAAACATGGTTACTTTTTGATATAATTGCCGTGAAGATTGAGGCATTTATCTAACTGTGGATGAGCTTTGCAATCCCCTCTTCATAGAATGTTGCCACCAATGACTCGAGATGGGCCTTAAAGTTGTTTTTGAAAATCGTCATTAGTCTCAAACCTCTGCCCTCCCAGCCACACTTTTAGTTCAGGAAAGAGGTGGAAGTTGCTTGGTGCTAAATCAGGGCTGGGTGTTTAAAAAGTTCCATGCTAGGTGGAAGACTTCCATGTCTTTCCTGAACTGAAAACTTGGCTAGCAGGGCAGAGGTTTGAGACTAATGATGATCTTCAAAACAATGTTAAGGTCCATCTCAATCACTAGCAGCAACATTCTATAAACAGGGGATTTCAAAGTTCATCCACAGATAGACAAATGCCTCAATCTTCACGGCAATTATGTCGAAAAGTAACCGTGTTTGTACCTAACTTTTGGTAATAAATTCATTTTGTTATTTACGCTTTTCTTTGTTTTATGGATAGGGTTTCTCACTTCTCGGTCTTTTGCTTATCCCAGGATTCCAGGAAAAAGTGAAGTGTTTCTTGGGATCCCACGATATAATTAATTATTTTTAAGATATAAATTAAATCTTAAAATTGAATAATATAATTATTTTTCATTTTTAAGTAATTTAATATGTCCTGCAATCTCTAAAATATTATTGATAATGCTGTGTAAAATATGTATTAAAAATTACTTCTGAATTACATAGAAATTTTCACAAATAAAAAAAGTTTATTAACATTTGTTGGAAGCTGTTTACAACAAAAATGCCTTTGAATTGAGTTGAAAATTTAAAGAAAAAAATGAACCTAGATCAAACTTCTAAGTTAGAAGGTAATTTTTGTTATTTAAATAAAACATATTATAAAAATTTAGAATAATATTTTGTATTAAGATTTAAAAAGCAAAGGTGGTTGATACTCCGATTGCTCAATTTGATTTTTATTTTACTAAAGAAAGGTCCTGCTACCAAGAATGCACTTTTTGATTCAATTGATGTGGGTGGAATTGTCTTTAATGCATTTAAGAGAAGAAGGATGTTATGTGTTTTTTCACCTGTAGCCTGGAAGATTTCTAGTTCATTTTCGAGATGCGTTACAGTACTTCTTTTGCTGTCTAGTATTTTTGATTTGTCTACCTCGGCTGCTTTAATAGCGGCATCGAGCTTATAGTTCAATAATTCGGCAATTCGTTTGGCTTTAATAATCAGGTTTATGAAGAAAAACTTCATACTTGAATACTTCGTACACATCTGTATCCTTGGCCAATTTGCACAACCTGGCATAATGCAGTTATTGAAGCTACTGGGCATGGTTAAATATTAAGACAGCATAAGCACAATTATTCCAGGTTCTGACAAGTAAAGAATTTTCAATCCTGTCACAATAGGCTACATATTGATTATTGACAATCTATGACATGCCACAATAAGCAAAAATTTAAAAAACTAAAATTCAGACTTGAAAATTAATAAATACAAATGTGTTCTGACAGTTTATGAGTTAATTATACTTTCTATTTGCAAAATTTCCTCAACTTTAACACAAAATAAGAAAAAAAGTGAATTTTTAAGAAATTTGTGGGTTATCCCGGGATCCTGTGAGAAATCCTATTTATGGACTATTGGAGGTAGGAAAAAATCCGCCTACATATTTCATCATTACAGATTATCAATAGCTGTGCCTTTCTTCAAATGTTCCAAAGTTGATAAGTATATTATGTAACAGATTGTCAACATATGACTATCAATCAAGAATTACTTTGCAAATCATAATGCAGTTTATCACTTTATTACAAATTCTGCAGTCTGAACAAGTTACCAAGAAAAATATCCAGCTTAAACAAAAATATATTGAAGTCAATCTTGAGTTAATTTTTCTTGTTTGTTTAATAAAGGTAATGTAATACCAAAATTTTTACATGGTTCTATAAATCTGTAAAACAACCAAAATTTAAATTATATTAATAATAAGCAAACAAACAAGGTTATTTTCATGCTATTAGAAGATAGATTAATCAAGAAAATTTAGTCTAAATGTAGATGATTATACTGCCATTTTTTTAACAATATTAATTTTAAATAAATAATTTAGAAAATTTTGGTAAAGAAGATCAAACCAGAATGCATACATTTGGTATGCACATCTTTTGCATACAAAATTTATGCATTTCCAGTTACTTTAGACATCAATGAACTTAATAATGTAACAGTTGTGATAATTTTAACTAAATTATTATTGTACAGTTATGTACTGTACTTGTTACATTATTAGTTAATATTCTTACAAGATGGCAGCATAACCCACCTCCTTTAGGCAAAATTCTTTAGATTAATCTATATTCTTATAGCCTAAAAATAACCCTGCTCTTTGAAATTTATGCTATTCTGGAGTATAAACTTAACAATGTATTGTATGTAACATAACTTCTAACAAATAAGAATTAGTACTTACATAAGGAGCTGAACACATATTCATTAATTGTCTTATTTCTTTAGCTATCATTCGCAATTTCTCAAAATTTACCTTAATAAACAATATAACAAGTTTGGTAAATAATATTTTACATAATGCCACTTATAAGATAATTATTTAAAATAAATTCATACCAAATTATCTACAAATGTGTCATTGCCTAAATGAATAAATGTTAAGTCTTTTTTGACAACTGGATAAAATGGAATCTGGAAAACAAACAAAGTATTTAAAAAATAAAACAAAATCATATTTATTTATTATAAATTTGAAAGAACAAATAATTACAATGGGTGGTTGTATGTGCTCACTGTTGATTAAATTACGATATTTACACATGTTTCGAGAGGGATCCATCAAGTCTTGTAGATCCTACATTCAAAGAAGAAAAAATTTTCTAGATAACAATTAATCAAATATATACAGGGTATTCTGCAAAGAAGCAGTAATATTTTTATAGCGTGTTCTAGAGGCCTAGGGGATTCAAAAATATTTCATAAACATAACTGTTCAAATGCATTTTTTCAGCACTATAAAGAATTAAATTTCAGACTAGCTACCTCTTAAGAAGCTGCTCTGTAGCACTTCCAAGTACCATGAAATAGCCTCAATCTCACTGTCCTTCAGCTTCTTATCTTCAGAACCTTACATTTTTTGCAAAAAACATAAAATTTACTTATATTTCTTGGCACTTTAGTACAGCATAGAAACTAGAAGGCAGCAAAATTGAGGCTTTTCCTCAGATGCAGCAGTGTTGCAGAGCAGCTTCTTAAGAGAGTAACTAATCAAAACTTTAATCCCTTCTAGTATTGAAATAATGTATTTGAATGGCTATGTTCGTAACACATTTTTGAATCCCCTATGCCTCTAGAAAACACTAAAAATATTGCCATCTCCTCATAGAATAACCTGTATACAACTGAGAGCATCACAGCCCAACAATATACAAACCTCAAATATTTTTTGGTACTTGGTTGGAAGTTTCTCCCATGTAACTCGCAGCCTGGAAACTGCCCCATGACCCAGACCACTTAAAATGGCAAACATAGAATTGAAGTTTTTACATTCTTTACATTGTCCTGAAATATAAGATAAAAATTAAATTCAGAAACTATTGGAAATAATATATTTATATGAATATTTTCCACATCTATATATATAATATATATTTATGATATTCAATGAATAGATCTTTATGAAGAATATGTACTCAATTCTAGTCTCATGGTCAGTAATAAATATTACAACCAACAACTGGTTTACATACTGTGTCCTTAGATACAACTCTGCTAGTAACACACATAATAACCATTACTGGGACTATGAAGAAAAAACAAAATCTGAAATAATTCCTAAGATTCAAAGTACCAAATGTGGAATACAATCACATACTTTTGGTTTTTGGATGGAGAAATCTATCAAATGTTCCTAAGAAAGGAAAAGTGATCCTGCTGCTTTCTACTATGAAAATGATGCAAGTAATAATCCCAGCATTAAAGAAAATGTAAACCAGGATAAATACTCTCTACAATCTCACAAAAAGTAGTGTTAATGATGTAGATTTTTAATCTTCTTACAATGTTTCATGCAATAACTGGTACTGGTCTTTTACAGTATTTATTGTAATGAACATAACAGGTAAATTTTCCCATATCATTCATCAACTAAACAACCAGAGATACATAAGAACATTTTCAAAATACCTAGGTGTAGATATGATAAAATCCTATATGGAA